ATATGGTCATTTGAATTCTTGTTTTTTTATTTGCGTTTCAGTATGAATAGAACTTAGAAAGTGAAAACGGTAAATTTCTAAGTATTATTTGAATCATGAAAGATATTTAAAAAAATCAAATTAGGAGACGACCATTTGATATTAAGGGGGAATTTTTTTTTCACGGAATGATTATTTATTTTCATCTGTTGCTACGCATGCTTATTTTTTACCGCTTCTTTTTTTTTTGCGCGAAAATATATTTTCACTTTTGTGCATATTTGTTAATGCTCGTCCCCTTAGAATAGATTGTTACTGTTTAGAATTTGTTAAATATTAGATTTCATCCATACATATTAACGCTGCATTCAGTCACATCACAAAATCTGCCGAATATGTACCATTTAATTTAAGCATTTGACATATTAACACTTTCCTTCAAGGTCCATACTAGACATTAGATTGCTTCTATAATCACTTTAAGACAATACATGATCTAGAATAGAAGAATGCATTATCTAATTCTATACAAGTATATAAGTGGTCAATATGTTTTTGTGTCAAAACAAAGTGAAGTGTAGCGCTAAAATGATCTAAAATGATCCAAATGTGCTAGTAATTTGCATGAGAAAAAATTAATCAACCATCGTGTTGTGTATACGTCTCTCAATTCGCAAAGAAGAATAAAAATCGATGTAGGTACTGCTTACAGAACATAGAAATGTTATGTTTTAATGTGGGGTTTATCAAATTAGTACGCAAGAAATCTTTGAGATACGCTAGTTGTGATGTGGTCACGTTTTGGCGGCAATGTTCGGAACTGAATTATTTTTCATATTTGGTAATGAATTGATAGAAAAAAGTTATTATTATTGTAAAGAACCTAATGAGATATACGATGAGCATCATGGCAATACTGGAAAAAAATTGTTTTTTATTTTTCAATTTTTTTCCAAATTCGAATATTTAACATTATACTTGACGGGAGACTTATTTGGTGGTGTGCCAAATATACCAACCTGTAAGATCCTGTAACTAGATATTCAACGTGGTTTCAGGTTCATAATGAATTACTAACTTCTAAATATATTCTAAACATCTTTTCAGTTTTTATAAATGGACATTTAACGTCAGATTATTTACTTTAAATCGAAATTGAGAATACAGCAATAGGAGATATAATCACAGTACGTACGTTTGATGATACGACACGATAGCGCGGGAAATCATACGGTATTACCACGCCGCAAGGTAATCACTTTATTTGAGATAACAAACATTTCATGTAAATGAATATGGATGTGATACTGTTTATTATTCGACAGTTTCTGTATGACCTCCATCTATTGACATGTTGGGTGTTAACAACCGCCCTTAAATCCATTAAGTCTCTTTAATTTTTAATGTCAAGGCTATGTCACACATTTTAATAAGATTTAACAGTAAACATGGACATTTTGACCTTTGACTGCAAATTAATAAAAATCTCATGGGCTCTTTGCCTTTTAATATAAAACAAATGTTCTTTATCCTTCAATATAAATGAATCTGATGTTCAGTAGTTGTCGTTTGTTGATGTGGTTCATAAGTGTTTCTCGTTTCTCGTTTTTTATATAGATTAGACCGTTGGTTTTCTCGTTTGAATGGTTTTACACTAGTAAATTTTGGGACCCTTTATAGCTTACTGTGCGGTGTGAGCCAAGGCTCCGTGTTGAAGACCGTACTTTGACCTATAATGGTTTACTTTTATAAATTGTACCTTGGATGGAGAGTTGTCTCATTGGTTCTCATACCACATCTTCTTATATCTATTTATATATAATTCCTTACTACTCCAAAAATAGTTCATTATTTTTTTCTTTTTAATCGAATCTAGAATATTGTTGCCAAATCATCTACCGTTTTGTTGATGTCAAATAATAACCAATTATAAATATCATTCAAACTGGAGTTTGGGTTAAAAAGTACCCATAAAACCCAAATAAGCGTAATAACGGAAGCATATTAGCGCCGCTCAAAGTAATGCGAAGTAATGCAAACCTTTGCGTTGTAACCCAAACATAAGAAGAAACATTAAAGGGGCATTAGCTGTCAAATTCATGTTCACCAATTTGACTCAAATTCTCATATTTGATTTATAACATACTAAAACGTATATCCAAATTATAAAAAGTATAAAATAAACAATTTACGATGCACGGACTCGAAATGGGTATCAGCATTTCGTGTGCATTTTAGTCTAGACGCCATCTAATTAACCATCGAGGTGACCTCTGAAGATTGCCGACGGTCATATAACCCAATATAAACATAAACATAGATATAAATAGATAGCGAACTCATCTTTAGCTAAGGGGTTCAATTGAAGTTTGCATGAATACGGATTTAATGAGGTCGAATTATTCACTTGCAAGTGAATATATAATTCATTAGCGATGCTTCTTTGCTGATTTTGACAAAACTGAACCAAACTTGCTGGTAAAAGCGAACTATTTTATCACGAATTCACTTTAATTAATGATTGAACGATATATCTCGTAGCTAATGCCCCTTGAACAAAAAGTACGCATGGCCTAATACGCTTCCGGACGTACCACTGTTAAACCGTTACACGCAATTTCCGACGTTTTATAGGCGAAGAATAGTGATACAATTGGATATTGATACTATTTATTGAAACGAATTCGTAGACCATAGGATTTAATAAATTGAACAGGAATTCATCTAAAATTATATATACATTTAAAAGAATAATAATTACTTAATTACTAGTAATGTGTAACGGCATCATACAAATGTACATATATTTTTAAAAATTAAGTGATTTAATAATGTTTTACAGCATTATACAAATGTACATATATTTTTAAAATATGAAGTGATTCAATAATGCTTTTGAAAATACAAGACATCAATCTGTTATTTTTTTTTTAGATTTAAGTCATCCTTTTTACTGTCCCTCAAATTTTCTTGGTTACCTTGGTTCTCCTAATCGATTTACAACATTTAAATATCGGTAAACTATTGTCGCCCTAATAAACCTAACTAAGCATCAAGCTGAAAATTATTCAAACAATTCAATTCTAAATAGAAACCTGCTTAGCCACGGGGTGATTTGATTTCAAGAACAGTTATTTGAAAATCATTTCTAATAAAACATTCGAAAAGTGTATTGAGCTATGAACATATACAAGAGGATTTTAATGCTAGATTTATTTAAATATTATTAATCAACCTGGTATATTATACGAATAAATCTGTCATCAATGTCGCCATGTTTTACAAGTTAATTATCACCAATACATTAACATGTATATTAAACGTAATAATTGTGTTGAGTATATTATGTTCCACATAACAATGACATAATTGTCAACAACTATAGGGGGTGTGCAACCATTCTCTCGTTCGTGACTTTCATATTAGGTTTGATTATGATATATTATGAAAGGTGTCACATGTTGAATAGGAACTGGGCTGATATGCATAAAACCACTTAAGTTAAGATATCCAATCGTAGTACTTATCTATCGTACGACATGTAGAAAAAGCCGTCCGTTCGGAACAAATCTTAACTTAAGTAGTTTTATGCATATCAGCCCTGCTTACTTTTTTCGAACTTTGAGCGCTAGTCTGACAATTTCAGTATATTTTCACTTGGCGCATTACATTTGTGCGCATTTCGGGATAAACTTTTTTATGTTTGCGCGCATTCATGTTACAGGTTACACATGTAAATATAAAGTTAATTCATAATAAAAATGTCGATAGTTATTAATTTTTACATATTGATAATTTTAAATTAAATATTTCCCATATTGAATTTTAAAAATATGTATTAAGTGATCATTTGAAATCGGTACTTTTACTCTTCAGATTTGCTATGTTTTTACTTGTGCATATTAATCGGGACTTATCCTTTTCGAAACCCCCCTCCCTCCTACCTTCTCGTTGGTAAGCAGGGGACTTAAACTTACGGTAGAAGTACTTGTAAATAGATAAATAAATAGATATGTATAATTTACCTGTGTTTACCTGTACAAGGAATGAGCGCAAATGTAATGCACCGTTTTCTAAATAGGAGACTGCAAGTAAGAAGCTTGGAACAGTCATAAAAAATTGGTCTGCCTAACTTGCAACGTAGCCTATAAAAATCCATGGTTAATCAGAGACAACTGACGGCTTACTTCAATTGAATTACATCAAAACTAGTAATACGCAAAAAAAACAGATATACAAAGATAAATATTATATTGCAAGTTAGTGGCTTGGAACAGCCATCAAGAATAAATATAAGGAGATGTGGAATGAGTGCCAATGAGACAACTCTCCATCCAAGTCAAAATTTATAAAAGTAAACCATTATATGTCAAAGTACGGTCTTCAACACGGAGCCTTGGCTCACACCGAACAGCAAGCTATAAAGGGCCCCAAAAATAAGCCTGTTTTTGTTTTCATTTTGGTAAAGGACTTGTTTGTCTTTATTACTGTTTTTGCATATCTTTTTTGATCGACTCAACAACATGAACAGTAATTCATTAAGTTTCCGAATATCTCCGAGGGTCTACGAATCAATTGTGAAAAGAAATTGATCGCCGAATACTTCCAACTTAAATGCTCAAATGTTTCTTTTTTTGACTTAATCGAGTTGATGTAACATGTCTAGAATAAATTTATGTACCAAAATGTATGGTATACATACCATTTTTCATTTTAGAAATAAAAAAAATCGACTGGTGGTGTCACCAATAACAACAAAAGAAAGAGGTTGATATCAGGAATATTATAGAAAGCATATATTTGTTTTCTTAAAATACAAACAAACAAAATTTAAACAATCAAGACACATCGATAAAGAATATTAATGAAGCAGTTAATTTATTTTAAAATAAATAGTTAAATAATGTACTGATATCCAAGGTCACGCCCTCTGTACCAAGGAATGATAGAAATATCACTATATATATATTACTATACTAGTTTGTAACGTTCTCCGCTCATCCATTACAGTAAAGGTTACACTAAGGGAAACAATAATATGGAAGTATTTGGATGTGGATATGGCAGAAGACCTTCTATAGCTGAAGGACTAGAAGCTGTCAGACAAAGGAGGTTTTCAATACGATCGAAAGGATCTGGGGATGAAAATGCTGAAAACTCTGATGGATTTAAAGGCGAAATCGTAAGTAATCCTTATACGTTAATTTCTGTATTATAATAAAACATGTTTTCTCAATGACAGTTCATGATATATGTGACATCTGTCTATACTGACTCCGCGTTGGATATGTTATAAATGTGAAATATTTTTGAAATAATTAGAAAATACTGAAAACAAGCCTGTAATTCAGAAGATGTCGTTTGCAACTGTTATATTTTATTAAATTGTTTAGAGTGAACTCTTGCATTTGTTTATGCAAATGTGTCTGCATGGTGTTGAATATATCGTGAATACAAAAAACGGGCATTTTGGCATTTGAATCCCTGTTAAGAAAGTCATGCCAAAATTGACGACATAAACGCCCCCACCCAACAAGAGAAAAACAAATAAAACAAAACGAAACTATATATGGACCAAATACAAACCACAACAAAATTAAACAAATAAAAACATAAGGTCATGAGTTTCTCAAACTGTTTATGATGTCTTTACATTAAATCCGTTGGAAGTATACTGATTGATACTTTAGTCTGTGAGAACATGATTTATTTATTAGTTGTCATTGACTTTTAACTAGCTTTCAGTTACTTCCAGTACTCTTACATCGGTGCTTTGTTTCTATAGTTTTTATTTCAGTTATTTTGTGGCTTATAACGATCTTTTGAGTTAAGTCAATTGCAAATGATTTTTAGCTCACCTGGCTAAAAGGGCCAAGTGAGCTTTTTTCACCACTTGGCGTCCGTCGTCCGTCGTCGTCGTTAACATTTACAAAATAACTACAGGGCCAAATCTAATCAAACATGACCATAATCATCATAATGGTATCTAGTTTTTAAGAAAATGTGTCCGATGACCCCGCTTGCCAACCAACATGGCCGACATAGCTAAACATAGAACATGGGGTAAAATTTAGTTTTTTCTATCATTTTGAAAACCTCTAAAAATAGATAAAATCTGACAGTTGCAGAATGTTCAGAATGATGAGATTTTACTATTTTTGACTATTATATTGAAAATAATAAAAGAAAGAGAGAATCTTTAACAGCAAGAGTGATCAGCAAGAAAAAACTACAATGAGGTCAACATGGTCGAAATGGTCAGACGACTCCTGATTGGAATTATTGCCCTTGAATGACGATTTTTTTTTATCATTTTTTGCGTGTTTGCCTAATATCAAAAAAACTATAATAGATAGAAAGAAACGTTTATAAGCGAAAATGATCAGCAAGACAAGACCTACATAAAGTCTGACAACCCTTTATTGGAGTTATTGCCCTTTAATGACGTTTTTTTTTCCAATTTTTAGTGTTCTGCCTCATATCTTGTAACCTATTATAGATAGATAGACACATTAAATAGAAAAAATTATCAACAAGACAAAACCAGCAAATAAGTCAAAATTTGCCGAAATCGTTAGTAGACTCTTTATAAAAGTGATTGCCCTTAAATGACAATTAATAGAAAAAGAAAAAAAATAGCAATACAAGATTTTTGTAATGAATTCTATTCTAGTCCACAATGTTGGGGAGTGTCCATTGTTGAAGATGCACATAGACCTAGGTGAGCAAAACAGGCTCTTTAGAGCCTCTAGTTACAGTTTGTTCTTATTTTGTGCTGTTACACCACTGTCCCAGATTGGGGGAGGGATGAGCGCTCACAAACATATTTAACCCTGCCACTACTTTATGTCTGTCCCAAGTCAGGAAGTCGGGAACCTGTAGTTCAATGATTGTCGTTGGGTTCATGTCTGTCATTTTTGTGTTTTTTTTTTATAAAGTAGGCCGTTAGGTTTCTCGTTTGAATTGTTTCACATTTTTCATGTCGATGCATTTGTTTTAGGGCTTCAAATTTTTGCATTTTGTGGAAAACTGCAAAAAATGTCAAAATGGCCTATTTTTGAGATTCAGCCTTTAATACATTTATTTAAACGAGCAACAGCTTTACCAAAAAAAAAAAATATTTTGCTACAAGATGTATTTTTCAAAGAAGCAAACGCGTGTAAACTATATTTTTGTTTAAGGATGTTGCTCATATCTATTGTAGGTCAAATATGTCAATTTAGACATGTGTATATTTGACAAGTGACCTTCTTGCACATAAATGTCCAGATTATATCAGCCTGTTCATATATTAATACAATTAATATAATTTTTAAAGGCTTGAATGCATAAACTATTTTGTCATTTCAAGTATTATAGCTCTTATAATACCCCCTTCTTTGATATCCCGGGGTCAGCAAAAAGTATATGAAGAGCCACTGATTTTATGAGGGAAAATGAATAATTCAATTCTTTGTATACTAACAGACTCATCTTGTATCATTACGTTCTAAATGGGGTTAATGTATATATAATTAATGTCTAAAATCTAGTTATCACTCGTATTTATTATAAGACGATTTTAATATTGTATTAGGAATGCTTTTTTTTAATGGGTCTACTTTTCGAATTGTGCAAAGTTGTTTCTAAATACGACCACATATCAAATCCCATATATAAGAGTTGCAATATGAAATATGCAGACAATTTCATGATTTTAAAAAAGTAATGCAATGTTCTTTGAACCTATTTTTATGTCGGTTAATGTTTCCTATATTTTGTATTATGTAAGAGTATTGTGGATGATATCATAACTACTTTTATTTCGATTGTATGAACTAGATAAGTTACATTTAGCTTTAGGCTAGACTTTTAGATTCAGTAAAATGCAATTGTAAAGATCACGCACCCTTATTGTTCAGATTGATAAAGTCTTTTGCATCCGTCGACATTATCGTCGATTAAAGATCTGATAACCACAGTGACTGTGCATGTATACTTTAACGACCGGGGTAGTTTTCTTATAAGTTTTAAAAAGTAGTAACCTCCCTTGTTAATATGATGTTGTAATCAATCTATTTATTTGTACCATCTTTCTATAATATTATATTGTACAATTTAGATTTATGATTCGTTTGATATTTAAATATAATAATTTATTTTTTATTAAAGATATAAACAAGGTAATTTGAAAGGCTTTGATTCATTTACCACCGTAGTTCAATTCATAAGTCAGGCGGTCTATTTTGTCTACATTATGTTGAAAGAACACCGGGGTGTTTACATTGGCATTATTTACTATGGTCAATGACCGTGAAACAAGAAAGGAAAACATTGTACATTATAAAACGAGAAATAATTAAAATTAAATACAAAATTCTTGTTTAGTGAAATCAAAAACGAAAAACGGAAACACTTTTGATTTTCATTTTGGTTTTAGAGAAATCAAAAACAAAAAATGAAAACACTTTCGTTTTCCGTTTTGGTTTTAGAGAAATCAAAAACGAAAAATGAAAACACTTTTGTTTTTCGTTTTGGTTTTTGAGAAATCAAAAACGAAAAATGAAAACACTCTCGTTTTTTGTTTTTTGTTTTTGATATTTCAAAATGAAAAACGAATGGACGCAAATATACACGGACCCATAATCAGTACAGTGATTTATATTAGACAATTGCAATATAGACAATACACAAGAAAAAAAAATTCAAACATGAAATATAAATTGAGTTAATAATATATATATATAGGCATATAAACTATAATACTTAGTATTTATTGACAATGCACCAAATTCTTATTAGAAATGTCGAGGTTGAAGAATTACCTATGGTGCAGTTAAAAACAACTTGAGGGGAAAGTGACAGCACAACATATTCCAAGACAAGTATTATGACATGCCATAATCTATATTTCAGTATTAAAACCCATCAAGTTGTAAAGTTTATTGTGAATAATTTATAATTTAAGATATGACTGTCTATAATGACACATTACATTTTTATGGAGATTTACAATTAAGTGTGTTTGCTTATACGTGATGATTTAAATTAAAACGACGAAGAAGGCATATAGTGACCTATAATCGCTTACATCCATTTGGACTCTGAGGGCTAGTTGTCTCATTGGCAATCATAACGCATCTCCTTATTTTATATATAATAAAATTGAGGTTGTAAATGGGGAATGTGTCAAAGAGACAACAACCCGACCAAAGTGCAGAAAACAGCCCAAGACCAATGGGTTTTCAATACAGCGAGGAAATCCCGCACCCGGAGGCGGGCTTCAGCTGGCCCCTAAACAAAAATATGTACTAGTTCAGTGAAAATGGACGTCACACTAAACTCCGAAACATGTAAATGAACTAAAATTAAAAAAAAACATACAACACTAACAAAGGCCAGAGGCACCTGACTTGGGACAGGTGCAAAAATGCGGCGGGTTGAACATGTTTTGTGAGATCTCAACCCTCCCCCTATACCTCTAGCAAATGTAGAATAAACAAACACACGGCAATACGCACAGTAAAACTCAGCTCAAAAGAAGTCAGAGTCCGCTGTCAGAATAGGTAACAGAAGAAACTAAGTAAAATGACAATGATACATAAATTAACAAAGGACTACTAGCAGTTACTGACATGCCAGTCCCAGACCTCAATTAAACTGATTGAAAGATTATGTCTTCATCATATGAAAATCAAGCACAATCCCTCCCGTTAGTGGTTTAGTATTATAGCATCATAAAATATATGAGAAGAACATAACCGGTATCATGCCAACAACTGGTTTTAGAATAAATGTGTTTATTTCCGATGCAAATACCCTATGAGTGTTTGTCTGTTTAGAGGTTTGGTTAGCTTTTGAGGTGAATGAAGACATTTTTATCCTCTGTATAGAATATTACCATAAAAGATTGGACGTGAAATACCTGAACGTATAAGAATTCCGATAACTTGACGATATACGGAATCTCCATAGCGAACACAAATGTTATCTAGTAAAAATTCAAGTGCAGTTATCGTATCAAAGCAGGTCCAATTGACATTGTTACAATTATTACAGATGTCATTTTCCGAAAATGGAGTCAGTTGGAATGTAGGTGAATTCGTGATGATTTCCTTTTGCAGAACCTCTATGTAAAATTTACGTCAAACAATAATGATAATATTGGCAGCCTTATCAGCCGGGACAAAAACAAATTCAAAGAGTATATTAGTTGTCATAATTGTTATGGCGTTTGTTAAAACTTTGTTTGTGCTGGAAAGTTTGCTTGGAGTATATGTTATCCTTATATTTGAAAATGTTAACTTAACATTTGAATTTGAGCTAATACTAAAGAACGCAAAATAAACTACCTTTCCTTCAATAGGCTGTTTCAAAAAATAATTTTTTAATGTTGAAATTCAAATGGTAACGAGTCTAGTGTCTTTAAAAATTAATTTAAGAATAGAATTGTTCCATCATATAATCTTGTACAAAAATACGACTTATAAATCATCACATAAATTCAGCCTTTCAAAAAGCAGCAGTTGGTCATATGTTTGAAATAACAAAATGTGGTATAAATCGGAGACGTAAGAAATGCTCGTAGTTGAAAGCAAACCTGTTCAGATGAATGAATGCTGCCTTATACTCTGGATGCGATGGTTACACCTCGGAGCAGAATATATGTAAATAGAGCTTATAATTCGGATAGACTGCAAAATAACTTCGATAAAACAATTCAAAAAAAGATAAAACGGAACAGAGAAAGTGGGGAAGTAAGCATAAGAGAAGTTGTCCCGAGTATTAATACGCCATAATTAAGAATATGGTAATAAAAATAAGAGTATACACCTATATCACGGGGATTGTGTTTAACCGTCGAAAAACCATGAACTACATCGGTTTTGACTCGGGTCACAATATCTTTCTAACAATCTGCTTTATCACCCTCTCGTGTGTTATTCATATAGTGTATTATACTAACCATTCGATTTCAGTAGTATTATACCGGTATGTCATATATGGCGTAATTAATAATGAAGTTAATATCACAAAATAGTCCTCTAACATTTTGACCACAACCACCACCACCAACAACAAAATATAATCAGAAATATTGTTCGGAGAACCTCGCAGGGCTTAAAATTAAAAGGATTAAAAAAAGTGTATTACATAAACTCATCATTGATACAATTAAAATTTTTTGTGCCAGACGCAGTGACGCTCGAATCAAAAAAGTTAAAAGAGGCAAATAAAGTAAAAAGTTGACGAGCATTGAGAACCGCAAGATCTCTGAGTCTTAAATGTTTAATTTTGTTTACAGAATCCAGTTTTCATGCTACGAAATGGGTCTATATCATCGACGATCCCCATTGAGTTGCCTTCTAAACGAACATCTGTCTCGTCCTCACGACCATCAGATGCTGGATTGTATCTTTCAAAGCTTAAAGAAATTGACGAAGAAAAAGACCCAGAAAAGAATGTAGAAACAGTTGACGAGTCTTGGAAACTGGTGTACAAAGTCAGTGATGGTCCACCGATTTTACTAACTTTATGTTTTGCTGTGCAGGTAATCTAATCAGGATTAAGTGCAAGCTGATCATTAGAAATACATTCTACTACGTGTTTTGACTTGTGCTATTTGTTTTCTAGTTAATAGTTAATTCTAATAGCTTATCATCTTCATTTATAATACATCATCTTTGAAGAAGTTTTATAGTATCAATTTATCACTAGCTCCAACTATATTTGGAAAATTTTCATCGATGTACTATTATATAAATTATGTTGTCTACAATATTCTTTTCAACTTTCAAAATAATTAAAAGGATTTATCACTTGTTTTGCTAATTTCCGTTTGATAAACAATTTACTCATAGTTAAGCGATATAAAAGATTAATAATGTACGTTTATTAATGTAATATAGATCACATCCACCCAAACTGATGTTCTTCGGAATGTTGGACAATACGTTGGAAAACAAAAAAACACACACAAAAGAATCAATTCCTGTTTCTGATTATGATTTATTTCATATCGTTTATCTTTTATTGAATGCATTCTATTAATTCAGCAAACTTTGATGTCCCTTCCTGGTTGTGTTATAACAGCAGTTCTCGTATCTGGATCGGTCTGTGGCGAAGAGGATGAAGTTTTGAAGGCGAAACTATTGGCTACTACAATTTTCTTATCAGGAATTACAACTTTCCTGCAAGTAACGTTTGGAGTGAGGTAATTAAAATATAAAAACACATTCCAGGTGGGATTGCTATGAATGCTGATTATGAAGGTGCGAAATACTACTGTTCCGATTACATTCGTACTACTGTTCAGATAACATTTGTACTACTGTTCTGTTAACATTTGTACTACTGTTCCGATTACATTCGTACTACTGTTCCGATAACATTCGTACAACTGTTCTGTTTACATTCGTACTACTGTTCTGATTACATTCGTACTACTGTTCCGATTATATTCGTACTACTGTTCCGATTACATTCGTACAACTGTTCTGTTTACATTCGTACTACTGTTCTGATTACATTCGTACTACTGTTCTGTTTACATTTGTACTACTGTTCTGTTTACATTCGTACTACTGTTCTGTTTACATTCGTACTGCTGTTCCGATTACATTCGTACTGCCGTTTCGATTACATTTGTACTACTGTTCCGATTACATTCGTACTACTGTTCCGATTACATTCGTACAACTGTTCTGTTTACATTTGAACTACTGTTCCGATTACATTCGTACTACTGTTCCGATTACATTCGTTCTTCTGTTCCGATTACATTCGTACAACTATTCTGTTAACATTCGTACTACTGTTCCGATTACATTCGTTCTTCTGTTCCGATTACATTCGTTCTACTGTTCTGATTACATTCGACATCAGTATAAACAAAATTCACTTATTCAACATGTCGAACAAAAAACGTTTGCCAAGTTTTCAAGGTAAGAGAATCAGATAAATATAGGATAAGGTATAGCTTGGAACAAAGATATTAGGCGGTGGAGCTTAAGTAGTGATTCTGTTTTCAATGACAAAATTGATGGTAAATAGGTTCTATCTAGCCCTTCCTGCAGCTCGGTGAAAATGATGACTATTTTAAACTCTGCTCCTCGAGTTGCTACCAGCCAAAATCATCGTCATTTTACATCACCTTCTCTTCATGATGTTTTCATTGGCGACCTTTTGCCAATTATACAAAAATAGATTTCTACTTAAAAAAAAAACCAGTCTGTTCTTATCATATCTCATACCTATACCACTCCTGGTTGTACATGTGCTAGTTCCCCGTTCATATATAATCCGGCTGGTCACGTTAGTATTGGTGACATTAACATTATCAACAACACTTCTCTTCAAATATGTTAATCAAAGAACCGAAATATCGTGATTTAAAACATTTGACTGATGAGGAGTTATGTGAGGGGCAGGTTTGTAAATTTCCATCGTTCACTCAAATCAAATGTATGATTTTTACAAAATTAACTCTCTTTCATATACATAGCTGCACATAAATAATTTTTATGGTTTTTTCTTGTGTTGTGCTCCTGCACCAGTCCCTCGAATTTATGGAGAGTTGAGCACTCATTGACCTGATAAATACAGACACATTTCATACACTGTCATATTTGTATTTGGTTTTATTGTTTTTAGCATACATCCGGTCGTTGGTTTTCCGACTTAAATATTTTCACATCTTATCTAGTCTAAACCTTTTAAAGCTTACAATACAGTATTATGTTTGCTAATTATTGATGACAGTGCGGTGATCAGTAATTGTTTACATATTTACATCCTTTGACTCAACAAAAGGAGCTCTATTGTAGTTAAACTCACAAAAAAATAATCCCTTTCTACAGCAAGTCATTATAAAAAGTTAAAATAGTAATTAGCTTACAAGATACACAATTTTCTCAAGCAGTATCTACAACTGCAGTATATGCATTTATATATATTAGCTATTTCAGGTATCATAAATAAATTAAATCATTAATTACAGATTACCAGTTTTCCAAGGTCCTACTCCAGCATATGTTATACCCATTTTAGCACTAGCATCACTACCCGAGTGGGCGTGTCCAATAGATGCTGTAGGCAATAATAGCACAGGTAAATTGTAATTGTTTTAGAGATGTCAAGGGAATAGACATGATAATTTTGCAAACACTGAGTTGATGTCACTGTTAGTAGGCTTTATGTCTCCGAGGGTATCACCAGCCCAGTAGTCACCACTTTTGTGAAGACATGAAATAGCATTGATTTGTTCGTTTTCTGTAAATTTACTGTTAATACATTATTGAATTATTCGAAACACTAGGATTTCTACTCTCAAGCATATATTGCAGTTTTTGACACAATCTTTTGGAATCTTTAGTTTTTAATGCGTTTCAACTTTGTAATTGATGTTGGCCTTCAAACATCTTCGATTTGAGTGCCACTGGTGTGTTGTATGTCTACCAAGCGCGCGTCTGATGTACTAAATTAACGAGACTGGTATCTTTGGTGAGTTTTTACACAATCGGTAAAATTACAGATTAGAGACTATTCTAGTATTTTTAAAAGATCGAAGAATGCAAAAACATGTCCTTAGTGAGTTTAGACACAGACATGTCGTATCGGTTAACTAATTCTTGATGGTGACCATAAAACTTATGTAGTGTAGATTTCGGTCGTTCTTTTTCTCATAACTCTGTTGGAGCAGTTTTTGTTTAAGGAGCACGCCTCCTGTTAATGAAGTCGGAATAGTGGGAAGATGCACGAGCGTAATGAATCTATTGAAGTATGTAAACGCCATACGATGTGGCAGATGGTGTTACTGCTAAGCAATGTGTTTCTCAGTCTTTAGTATTCTTTACCGTGTTTTGTGGACTTGTCCTCTCGTCTTTTTTTTATTTCGTTGTCAGTTTCTCTTCGACTTAGGAGTTTTTAATGTTCCCTCGGTATCTTCCGTCCCTTTTTTTATTCACAGTAAAACGAAATTACCTTATCAATGTTTCGTCTGCATAAAAATCATCAGTGACTATCAAATCAAAACAGTTGGAAAGCTAATTTAAATAATGACATGGAGGGCATTGAAAAATAAAAAAATAAAAAAGAATTGTGCCAAATCTTGATCAGGCCATCTATTCCTCGGGAAACAAAATCTTAGTGTTTCATATAATTTAACATTTGGCTAATAGTAAATTACAATTTGAAATATTTAAATTATCAATGTTATTTCATGTCAGCACAGGAATGAATCAGTAATACTAAATGTGAATTCAATGCAAAATAGCCAATGGAAGAGCAACAATGTAAAGCAAAACTAAACTTACAATACTATCGATGTTACTCAAACAAAAGCCAAGCTACATGAATCAAAACTGATGATAATGATATAAATGACCTTTAACATTGAAATATGAGTTACTGTACTTCCTTGTAGATTTCAATCGATTCACAGAAATGTTCCAATTATTTATAAAAAAATCCAATGTAAACATCTTATATATAACGTATATCACATTTTTCCTTTACACAGAGAGGTTGTTTACAATGGGGAATGAGACATTTGATCTTGAAAGGTTACGCTCAGATTACATATACCCAAGATTACAGACGGTAATATGGAATTATCTGTTTTTGTTGTAAACTGATATTTTAGACAAAAGTCACATACAAAATTGATATTTCAAATAATTAAAAAAAAAACCGGTCAAAACTAATGTTCAGATAGAGATTTCGTGATATATTTAACTGTTCAATTTCCTCATTTTCTGTCGAATATTAATTACGGATGTATTTCTTTATTTTTTATTTAGATTTTGACCATTCATAATTAATTAATGCATCAATTAATTAGTTTATTTGTTTAGGTATACTATAAATAACTTTTCTAAAGTACACATGGTGTTTTACATAATTATATAATATGATGCAGCTGTTGAGTGTCATTAACATAATTTAATCAACCATTACATATTGTATTTGCAGCTCCAAGGAAGTCTTATATTTGCAGGATTGTTACATTGTTTAATAGGATTGACGGGACTGGTCGGATTACTGTTAAAATTTATAGGTCCAATAACAGTTATTCCAACATTGCTTCTTATTGGAATAGAATTCTACACAATTGTCACAGGTCTCTGCGATTCTCATTGGGGCATATCAGCCATGTAAGTGGTGCTGCTGAAACCTTATAGATATTTTTCACTGCCACGGATCACAACGGAGAAAACAGCTTTTCAACAAAATGATATTCTTTTTTTTGATGGCATTAATAAACGTTTGTTCATTGTTGTCTAAACATTTTTTTACTTTTAATTGTTAAGGAAGTGTATTGTAGTATTACAGTATACTCATTCATGCTCACTTTAAGATGAATAAATTAGAATCAGATCTTGTTTTAGTCTCTCAACTTTATAAATATTTCCTGACTTACAAGCTGCAATGACACAGAAAGATAAAGAGACGTTAGTTAGTTGTCGTCGAGAATCTTATAAACGTAATATTTTGAATTTAGTTATCATGTATTTGCAGAACGGCAGCTATAGGTATCATATTAGCGGTATATCTAGGAGGATGGGCCATGCCATTACCAGTATGGTCTAGATCACAAGGTTGTCACATCATAAGATTCCCGTTACAACAAGTGTTAGCTGTAAGTCATGATTAATCAATGGATGATGAAACGTGTAATTATATACGCGTCCTTAACCCCTCCCTCTAATACGTTCCCAGCAGCAATTTCACAAAGAGAATTTTTAAAGAAAAACTATCGGAAATGATGATGGATTTACGTTTAACGTCCTGTGGCAACCGTTAAGTGCATATCAGAACGAGACAATGTTAATGTGATTTAAATATGAACCATACTTTGTACTAGACCGACATACATCGTAGGGTTTATAACGTGTACTGTTAGTTCACATAGTAACATCATTCTGACTCTGAGCCATCGGGACTTTGCTCTTATTCCTTAATGCTGCGGAATTAGCAGGGAAGCGGCGAATATAAATATTCTAGTCTTTGGTTTGACCGGTACCGTCCGTTGATCGAACCCAGGACCTTGCACATTAGAGGCAAGTACGCTACAACGAGACCGGCGAGGAGTTTAAATTTCGCAGAAGCCGTGTAAATACAAGTTTGTATAAAAGGAAAATCTGTAAGCTTTTGTTTTGTTTGTTAAGTTTCAATCGTATATAATTACATTTCATAGTGAGAAAATAATCACGTGGTCCTCTAAAGTATTGTTTTATTTCCCAATGAAATACAGCATCCATGAATCTACGTTGTCTCCATGACTACAATATCAAACAAACAAAATTTTTGATAACTCGTAATTTCATTGTTTTAATGTGAAACTGTAACTGTAAGAATCAAATCTTACTTTTTTAAATTTAAGGGGTTGTAAAAGCATTGACTTTGAAATGGAAATTACTTAGACATGATATCCTTAAATTTGGAAACAATAAAAATGCGTTATTACTTATTCATTTTATGTATTCAGATTCTTCTGTCAATGATGATTGGTTGGACAGTATCTGGGATCATGACTAGTACCGATTCTATCTCGGATGATCCGAACAGTGAACAGTATAAAGCCAGGGCAGACTATGGTATTGCTACCATAAAAAAAACACCATGGTTCTATGTCCCATATCCAGGTTAGGGCAGACCCGTACAGTGTACTTAGATTTATTACATCAACAATAGTTATGGCATATAATTCTTGAATAGAAACAAGCCACAATTTTGAATGTTTATATTCATTAAAAAAATACGAAGTTGTGGTGAAGTTAGAGGTGAAAAAAGTATAAAAAAGATTATTGAATTAATTACTCTTCTAACGTAATCTCCTAGAAATCGGGTGATGAATATGTAGCAGAGACAGGTTAACAATATTACAATTCTAAGTAACCTCCATTAAAAATGATATTTTCTGTAATTTGCATGATAAACATGATTCAATGAATCAGTGACCAGATACTAATAAACATTTCACTTCGAATAAATCAATGCAACAATAAATGACCCTTGCTTGTTATAGTTCAGGAATGAACTGTAATAACAAAACATGCTCAAATTGTTCAAATTGGGATCGTTACAAGCGTTTTTCCCACCAAATAAACAGAATATACCAGGTACATTCAGTACATTGGTTATTCCAAATTCTTGTATAAAAACATTGTTGAACTTTCTTGTGAAATATTTTTATGTATAAATAACCTTGTTTATTCGAATCGATCTCGTCATGATCCATGTATGTGATGCATGACTATAATAATGATACTAGAAAAATAAGAAAATGCAAATGTGACACATCAACAATCCTTTAATGTTTTGACATTCTAAATATGCACAAAAAAATGGAATACGACCAAATTTTGTGGATGTGTTTTTCGACATACATAGATATAAGAAGATGTGGTATGATTGCCAATGAGACAACTCTCCATCCAAGTCACAATTTGAAAAGTAAACCATTATAGGTCAAAGTACGGCCATGAACATGGAGCCTTGGTTACACCGAACAGCAAGCTATAAAGGGTCCCAAAAATGACTAGTGTAAAACAGTCTACATTCTTGCGGGAACTATTTATCCTTCTTTTGTATTGATATTTAGGAAAAACTGTCAGTATCTTAGTATATTTGACCTCTATTTTAAAATGTACTGAAACAATGAAAGTGTATTGTTTTATTTTCCTTCTGTCAAATACACACGAAGGCGTTAAAATGTCGAACTTTTCTCAACCTAGGTCAATTTGGATCAATTGGTTTTGATGGTGGTGTGTTTGTGGCATTTGTTACTGCAACACTGACTTCAATTATAGACTCGATAGCCGATTACTACGCATGTGCAAAAATGTCCCATGTTCCTCCACCACCACTTCATGCAGTGAATCGTGGGATAGCATTTGAGGGCTTCATGAGTATGATAGCTGGATTTTTTGGAGCAGGACATGCTACAACAACATATGGTGGAAATATTGGTACCATTGGAATGACAAAGGTACGTAAGATACTGTAAAATTAAATCTTTGAAAAAATCAGAACTCACAAACATTCATAAATGATCAATGAACTTTTGGTTGCAGTAAATGATAGGTATATATTAATTATTGTTAGTAAAAATGTAAAATGATTCATTTTTTTCACTAATGTCATTTTGGTTTCAAAATATAAAATATAAAGTTGAATAATTAAAATTCTAAGTGACATTGAAGTTTTTGTCATACTAGTAATACATTATATAGCTCTCCAAAATGAGGCCTTCGATGTTGCTAATGCTTAATAATACAGTAAAAAAGTTTGCATTTTGGTATGCTTTATTATAGGTTGCTAGTAGAAGAGTTTATCAAGTTTTCGCAATTATCTTGATAGTGTTTTCTGTGTTAGGAAAATTTTCTGCTGTTTTTGTTACTATACCTGACCCAGTCATTGGAGGTATATCTGTTGTTGGATTTGGAACATTTCTTGGACTTGTAATGTCAAACCTCCAGTATATAGACTTAAATTCCTCTAGAAATTTAGCTGTCATTGGAATATCTTTGTTAATTGGCTTAATGGTTCCAAATTGGACAAAGAAACATCCAGAGTCACTTTCAACTGGTAATATTTTTTATTGTATAAAATTGTAAATTCTGGTATCTATTATGAGTTTATTTGTAATTCAATTTACCGGTCATTAACATGTCAAGTTTTCCAGTAAATGTCTTGATATATTATTCAATGTGGTATTGTGTAAAAGAGGGACGAAAGATATCAGAGGGACAGTCAAACTCATAGATCGAAAACAAACTGACAACGTCATGGCCAAAAATAAAAAGACAAACAGACAAATAATAGTACAGATGACACAACATAGAAAACTAAAGACTAAGCAACACGAACCCCACCATAAACTGGGGGTGATCTCAGGTGCTCCGGAAGGGTAAGCAGATCCTGCTCCACATGTGGCACCCGTCGTGTTGCTTATGTTATTACAAATCCGGTAAATAGTCTAATTCGGTAAGTCACATTCGTGAAAAGGGAAGGGTATTGTAGTTACGACATAAGGAACATATCCGATATCATCTGTGAAACGGTCATTCCATAACGGTCAACCAACTCGTGATGGCGTCCGTAAAATTTACGAAGGGATGATTTCAACTTCACCATTTGGAACTCTTGGCTTAATAGCTTCCTTGTGAGCAGCAATCCTCTATCAAGGAAATCATGATAGGAAACACAAGCCCGGGAATATCGTATCAATTGGGAGATATATACTCCGTATGCAGGCGCTGCTGGAATGTTGCTACATAGAAATGGAAAGTTCACAATTGGGAATCTGAAATCATCTCTTTTGTCGTAAAGTTTTGTTTTCAACCGACCCTCATTGTCAATTTCTAGATGTAAGTCAAGATATGAGGCAGACTTAACTGTATCTGTAGTATCCTTTATCTCTAGTTCGATGGGATAGATTCGTTCAACATAGTCACCAAATTTTGGATTATTTAGTGAGAGAACATCATCTATATAGCGGAACGTAGAGTTAAAGGATATTGCTTCTTATCTCTTTCCTAAGAAGCTCCTGTATGAAGTCAGCCTCATAATAATAAAGAAACAAGTCGGCAAGAAGAGGGGCACAATTGGTTCCCATTGGAATTCCGACAGTCTGTTGAAAAACACGTCCTCCAAACGTAACAAATATGTTGTCAATCAAGAAATCAAGCATCTTCATAATGTCAGTTTCAGAGAATTTTTGTTTGAATCAGAGTGATTCTTTACAAAGTAGGATTTATCCCTCCCCAAGACGAGATACTTGTATCTACGTTCGCCATTCTTTTTAATGAAACAAAGTAATACCAACTCTTTCAATTTGTCCTTTAGTTTGGAATGGGGAATACTTGTGTAAAGTGTAGAAAAGTCAAATGTTTTAATACTATTGCAAGATGAGAGTCTTAGATTGTATGTACTCTAAAAGATCTTTGGAATTTTTTAGTATCCACATCTGATTCACGCCACCTCTAGAATAGGCAGTTTCACAATAACTTTGGAGCCCGGCTTTGATTGCTGATAAAATAGATTGTATGCGTTAAATGAATACTTTTTTTTTACCATTGATGCAACTTTTCCAAGTCTTGTCATAAAGTACGTTTATCAAATAGTTCAGATACATACAAAAAATAATAAGATGTCGTTTGATTACCAATGAGAAAATTACCAATCAGAGATCAAAGGAAGAGAATGTAACCGTACGGCTATTAACAATTGAGGATGTTAACTGTACAAGACCTCTCTTGATGATAAAGTGTAAAACATTTAAAAAGAGAAAACTTACTGTCTGATTTACGATAAAAACAATAAACGAAAAACTAGTATACACTATAAAAATAATCAAACCAATAGATACACAGCATCTTAAGCTTTCAAACATTTTCTCGCGATTCGATTTTTTTTTAATTGAATTAGTTACTGAGTTGTTTTCCGTTATTGTGAATTTTGACCATTTTTACTCCAAAATAAGTAATACTCTTAGTATATCGATACACAGCGATGTCTTCAGTCCCATCCACTGCAATTTGATATCCAAAATCTATCCTAAGAATACATAATTCAAGTGGAAACTTTTAGCATTAAATCACAAGTTGAAGTGCTACAAGATATGAACAGCCTCATCAAAACCACTTACAGCGTTGACAAAATAAGTCAATTACTAACTATCTGAAGGTGAAATACTACAATAATGCAATATGAGGTCATCATAATTATTATAAACTTGTTATGGTTATACTACTGATAATACAAATTACTTCCATTTTTGTAGGCCTACCAGACCTAGATAGTCTGCTACAAACTATTCTATCAAATCCAATGATGGGTGGATTTGTCGCTTTCTTCTTAGATAATACAATTTCAGGTAATTTAGCGCAATATTAAAATCTAAAGGGTCCCCGTATGCGAATCGCTCATGTTAATCTGTCAGTCACCCAGAGAAATGTGTTCCATGAATGACCGAGAAAATACCCGTAGTAATTTCCCATTTGTTTTATAGTATGTAAAATAACAAAAATACCGAACTCCATGGAAAATTAAAAACGGAAAGTCCTTAATTAAATGGCAAAATCAAAAGCTCAAACGAATGGAAAACAACTGTCATATTCCTGACTTGGTACAGGCATTGCCTTATGTAGAAAATGATAGATTAAACCTGGTTTTATAGCTAGCTAAACCTCTCACTTGTATGACAGTCGCATATTATTTCATTATATTGACAACAATGTGTGAACAAAACAAACAGACATTTCAAATAATGCTATTGAAACTGAAATGATAACATGAAATTTATTATACTTGCCAATGCAGTATAAAATAATAACAACCCTTTGATACCCAATCATTCAAACAAATGAGTACTTGTATAAGTTAAACGGTTGTCCAAACGGTTGTCCACAAGAACTGAGACTACTTTGTGTTCTAGCAATCTCAGACCAAAACAAAACTCATATGTGACCTATCACAATTCATTTTACAAATATATACGATAATATACAAAAGATAAGCTAAAAATGCAAGGATGGCTTACACATAGTGAAAAAAAACCTTGATATTCATAGAGTTTTCGAACCTTTAATATAGTCTTATATTTTCTTTTGTGTTTTTTTTTGTCAAATATCATTTGTTTGCATATTTAAATTATGTTACTCTCTTTCAGGGTCAAAATTAGAGCGAGGTTTAGCCGAGTGGGATACTTCTAATCAAGATGTAGAAGAAATTTCTGATTGTGATTATGAAGAAGATGTGACAGTTTATGAAATACTTTCTATTTCAAAATTACTGAAAAATGTAACATGGTTGAAATATATTCCAATACTTCCTAACTTTGATCCAAATGTTTATAAATGTAAATGTAACTGTTCATGTTGTGGACGTTGTAAAAAAGAGAAATTTTGAATGTGTTCTTTTTTCCATTATACATTTTTGAAATTTTTTTTTGCATTTAATTCAAGATATAAAAGTCATATACTATATTAAGGGGGTACAGAACACCTAAGGGAGTTAACTCTTTAAAAATCAGCTCTGAACGTTTTCATCACCTACAATTTGTAAAGAAAAATCAAGCTTCTTTATAATGATCAAAATTAGTGTTTGTCAAACTGCTATATATCCAATAAAATTATTCCTGTAAATTGTGTGGTTCAAACTTCTTGAATTTTTTATGTTTGTCAACAGGTCAAAATAGATATGTTGTCTAAATTTTATGAAAATTAAACGAGCCAAATCTATTTTAGTCAAAGTGTTGGGTACCCCATTAACTAGTAATATTTGTAATACTTTTCCAAAACATTGATCTGTCTGAAAAATATGTAATTGTGACACAAGTGACAGGTCAATGTCAGAAAAATATCTTCTTTTTTTGTATGAGGTTTACTGGGGAAGGGGAGGTTTACCACTTCAATATCGTGCTGAATCCAAAAAAAGTGTATATTTTTCCTACATTGACATAATATTGTTTTTATACTGCTGCTAAAAATTACAATTATGTTTGTGTAAATTTATGAAAATATTAACAAATAAAATGCTTCGCTGAGCGCAGCTGGATACGACCGTAGAGGTCCAACCCTGAACAGTTGGGGCAAAAATGGACACAATATTCGCGCTTGATACAGGTCTGAATTGGATTGTAATTAATATTTGACACCTAATAGGTTTCTGACACAGAATAACTGTAGTAGAATTGGTTGATTTGAATTTATATTAATTTTTTTGCTTTTGTCCAATACACTATGCTGTTGCAGATTGACCCCCCCCCCCCCAAAAAAAAGAAAAAAATTTAACCCCCCCCCCCTTTTGTTTTGCTTTTGAAAAATACACTATGCTGTTGCGTATTGACCCTCCCCCTTTTTTTGGCCAAAAGAAAATTATTTGAAGAAATTTTCTTTTTCATTTCTGAAATATGAAATGAAAAAAAAAAATGCCCCCCACAATTTCTTTTTTACCCCCTCTCCCCCTCAATTCTTTTTTCACCTCCCCCTCCCTTTTTCCAAAAAAAAATTCTTTCCCTCAAGATATGGTCATAATCTCAATTCAAATTTCCAATGGAATTTGAAACCATAATTACCAATTTAAATACATCATAAAAAGTCTTAAAATAGAAAATGACATACATAATCATTGCTAAAATTAATATTCCTTTAATAGTAACTTCTAAGAATTAATTGACAGCTAATCACCTAAAGACAATACAAAACTTCTTTATGCATAATTTTGAAGCTGTGTAAGGGAGGTAATCCAAACATAAACAACATTGTACTTTAAATGTGTTTGGATTACCTCCCTTACACTATTTAAATTGTACATTAACCAGGAAACCTTTGTTTTCCACCCTTTTTTGCCCCCTAATTCCTAAACGGTTTGAGCTCTAACCCCCCAAAGTCAATCCTAACCATCCCTTTATGGTATGGAAACTTGTGGTATAATTTCAGAGAGATTCATACACCGTTCCACCAGTTATTGTCTGGAAACTAGAAAAATGCTTATTTGGGCCCTTTTTGGCCCCTTATTCCTTAACTGTTAGGACCATAAACCTTCCATTTGTGTTTATAAACCTTGTGTTTTCATAGATTTCTATTTACTTGTACTAAAGTTATTGTCCGGAAACCAAATATCTTCGGACGACGACAACGACGATGACGTGATACCAATATACGACCGCAAAATTTGTTGCTGTCGTACAAAAATGTAACTTATCTTCCATTCATAAACTGCAAACCCCAGAAAGTGGAAATGAAATCGTCATTGCACGAAATATCCCTCTGTTTCAATTATTCGTTAGATAAAGACAGCTGATAGTGTTCTCGATGCAATATAAAAAAAGAAATGTACAATTTTAATTCCACATGTAGACTGCTTCCAGAAATTGACAAGACCTTGCTAAAATGCAGTTCGCAACCATTTCAAGAAAAGATTGCAAACATGTACTGTTGTAATATGTGATTAGAAGAAGGTCATTCTTTAAAATTTGTTTTTTTATAATAACTTAAAATTGAAAAAAATAGAAAATGTCAAGCTATAAGAAAATATTAAATACATAAAAATTTTTGGAATACAAGTTTTCTCTTGATTTTGACTACAATACCAAGAAAATGTACCTATCGCCAAATATGATGAAATATTTTACCTTCGAAAGAAACGTGTTTTATACAAAATCAGGCCGTTGGTTTTCTCTTCTGAATTGATAAATATTTTGTGATGTCGGGAACTGTTAGACCTTACTATATGCTATGGGTTCGCCTAAAGATATTTACAACCTTGTCCTTTGGCCTCTGATGGATAGTTGTGTCATTGGCAATCATACCAGATCTCCTTATTTTAATTTATAAGAAATTATTCAGTTAACTGTCATGACATATTCTAACATTATACTATCGCAAATGATCAAATGTCTCATTTGGCTAATGAGATACACTCAAAAATTTCCAGTAAAATATGAATGAACATAACTGTAAAAAAAAATCAAGAAAATGTGGTTTTTCCCAGTTTATATGGAAGTGTTTTAAATAAGTTTTATAGAATTTATTTCGTTAATGCTTTATATTTTGTCCAGTTATTATACTTTTAGTTTAAAAAGTACATTTACTAGTATTTAATGGATAAATATGGTAAAATCAAATCAATTGAAATATATGTTCATGTGAATCATCTCATTAAACCAAGCTGATAGTCATTACTATCAGCCATTTTCATGTTTTAAAATTACTTTGTAAAAAAATATCCTCATAGATTCTTAATGCATCATTTATTCGTGACATGCTAGATATACAGCATAAATGACAATTGAAAATTAAATCTTAAAGAGTGAAGTTATTGAGAATGAACAAATAAATGAAAGTTTGGGTCTCATATCATCGTTAAGGAACTGGAGTACCTTGAGTGAACTTCCAACCTTTGACAGGAAAACTAGCAATCCTAAAAAAGAGTGTACACGCTGAAATGTCTCGCCTATTTTACTTATATGATTGAATTCATGTTGAAAGTCTGTAATATGAAGGTTTTACTACAACTATCACATAAACTTAACATTATCAAAGATCCATTAAAATGAAGTCATGGTCAGATGAACCATGCCAGACAGACATGTACACCTAACAATCATTCCATACACCAAATATAGTTGTCCTATACCATAAAGTACCAGAGAAACAGATCAAACAAAATCTTAACATTTACCGATGAACCATGAAAATGATGTCAAGGTAAGATCAACCCTGCCAGACAGACATGTACACCTTACAATCATTCCCGACACCAATTATAGTTGACCTATAGTTTATAGTAACTGATAAACTGCGTAACCACAAAAACTTATCCATGAAAATGAGGAGAAGGTCAGATGAAACGTGCCAGACAGACATGTAAACCTTACATTTATTTCATACACCAAATATATTTGACTTGTTTCTTATAGTATCTGAGAAATAGACCAAACCACAATAACTAAACATTGTTCAATGAATCATGAAAATGAGGTCAAGGTCAGATGAAACCTGACAGTCGGAGATGTACACCTTACAATCATTCCATACACCAAATATAGTGGACCTATTGCTTACAGTATCTGAGAAATAGACCAAACCCGAAAAACTAAATATTGTCCAATGAACCATGAAAATAAGATCAAGGTCCGATGAAGCCTGCGAGTCGGACATGCACACCATACAATAATTCCATACACCAAATAAAGTTGACCTACTGCTTATAGTATCGATAATACAGACTTGCCACATAACTTAAACTTTGATCACTGATCCATAAAATGAGGTTGAGGTCCGATGATAACACAATGCTGTACCCCTATTTTTGACATTTTTACCTATTGTGTCTGTTTGTTTTGTTCACACATCGTTGTCAATATAATGGAATTTGATGCAACTATCATACAAGTGAGAGGTTTAGCTAGCTATAAAACCAGGTTCAATCCACCATTTTCTACATAAGAGAATGCGTGTACCAAGTCACAAATATGACAGTTATTGTCGTGTAGATTTGATGTGTTTGAGTTTTTGATTTTGCAATTTGATTAGGGACTTTCCATTTTGAATATTCCCCAGAGTTCAGTATTTTTGTGATTTTACTTTTTATGAAACCTACCTGACAGACATGTAGACCTTGCAAGGAACCCATATACCAAATATAGTTATCCTATTACTCATGATAAGAGAGTATTTCGCTTTAAAAAAAAAACACACACAAATTTTTTTTCAAGCAGTCACTGAACCATGAAAATGAGGTCAAGGACAATGGACATATGAAAGACAGAAACTTGGTAATATAAGGTATCTGCATACAAGGTATGAAGCATCCAGGCCCTCTAGCTTTTGAAATATAAAGCTTTTTACAAATAGTGTATGGCGTCGACACCCCCGCTGGATTGTAATACTTTTGTCTCGCATTCTGCGACTTAGTAGCAGACGAGACAAAAAGGATCAGATTTCATAGGACCTTGCCAATGCAGTGTTAAAACTCGCAACTTCAGTGCTGACAAGCAAGTCATCTCTGCAGATTAACTAATCAGATCAATTAGGCCATTTTTTCTAAGAATGTGTAGGGTTATTAGATCACATCTGTCTATTCCTATCGACAGGAAACATGAATTTGTTTTCAACAATATTGTGTTGTCTGAAATCTAAACATTTAGCTATTGATTCACAAAGGCTAAACATAATTCAAACTATATAGGGAGTTGAATATTCACCTTAACCTATCATGTCCTTTGCTTTAATGACAAAAAAATCTACAAAGTTATCTGTCTAGAGTATCTGAGTACACCTCTATTTTAAGGTTGAAATTCCGTTGGTCCATTTTTAGGAATTTACACTTTTTTTTTTGTCTTTTCTTTTAGTCATGGTGTTGTATCCTTCTTAAACTTGTGATATTTGATAGGACTCTAGGTATATAATAAACTTTTTTTAAAACAGATCATTGATTTTTTTCATTTATTTCATGTAAAAAGTTAACAAAGGTGAACCCAATCCATATCTTATAGTCCAGAATACAATAACAATAAATTACTTAATTCAGTAATTGCCCCTTGAAAATTGTTCATTTATTCATATTCTAAATAAATATTTTCAGATAATTGTCTTACTCTGTCTGTTGAAACATCAGGAAAACAAGAACATTTGTATGC